CCAACATCTACCAGACATGAATCATGCTTTAATATTGGCTCAAGTTTGACAGACTGTAAGACTTTTGCATCAACATGTACTTCAACATCTTCTACTAGTACAATGTCATCGCTATTAGAACCACGCCCTGGATGTTCAACAGCATTATCGAATCCACCGTCACCTGGCTGTCAAGCTGAAGGTGCTAGTTATACACCTCAAGATAATTATGGTATGTGCATAGTATGCTTAATAAATAGAGGATATTACAGTACATGAGCGCGCGGAGATACGGATTTTATCTTCAAGTGTTGAAAAGATCTCTCACGAGTGAGTGTAGCAAACGAGTGAGAGATTTTCAACACGAGAAGATAAGATTCGTATCTCAAAGCGACTGTAATATTCTGTTTATCATATAATTAAGTATGAAAGCAAATTATGTCGGAAAATATCTTTTTTCTTTCTTCCACTATATAGAGAAACCTCGAATGTGTTATTTTCACTAGTGAAAATATCAATTTTACGTAATGGAGAAATATAGGTATATCATAGATAATTATATGATAATTGGTTTTAACTTTGCCGCTTAGAACCAATCAGTACTATTTCACAGGTACACATGCACATTAAATTTCCTAATTACAAAATTGTACAAAATAATATTAATTAGTCCCCACAAAGTTTGCATGCTTCAACTGTATGCACTCCATTTTATCTCACACCATGCATACCTGAAAGTAGTTTGTTAACTTGGTGTGATATTGATATGATTAACACAGTGATCATATTTCATGAGATATAGAGGATATTGCATGGAAGCGCGAAGATACAGATTTTATCTTTGAATGTTGAAAAGATCTCTCACTCGTGAGCTTAGCGAACGAGTGAGAGATTTTCAATACGAGAAGATAAAATTCACATCTCCAAGCGACCATGTAATATTCTGTTTATCTTATAATTAAAGCAAATTATGTCGTAAAAATACCTTTTCTCTTACTTCTAGAGAAACCTCGAATGTGTTATTTTCACTAGTTGGAGAAGTAAAGTTATTTCATAATTAAGAAATATAAAACGGCGCGCGTGTCTCTGTCCTCTGATATAGACACGGTCGTCAGCCAATCAGAGCGCGCGTTATATATCAAAAATTTTATAAATAGTTATATGATAAATAATGTTGTTTTCTGGTAGGTATGAACAGATGGGATGAAGAACAGATCCTAGCAGCAGTATTAGCAGAGTCTCAGAAAGAATACCTTGATAGTCTTAAAAAGAACATCAAAGAAAATTCCCCYGAGCCAGGGGGGAGCAAGTCATAGCAAGATTGTCATAATAATTCTAGGTGAAGCATGTTCAGTAATTGTTTAAAGAATAAGTTAGGTTATGTATAATGAAAGTATTACCATAAGGATACCAAGCTCAAATTGTATTTTATATGCAACTTCTGGTAACCACCATTATGTTTTGGTTCCTATAAACTATTTCTGGCACAGGGCATTACCCTACTATAAGCCAATCAGGATAAAGTAGTATGGTTGTGCGTGCAGGGATAGTTTCTTTAGGGCATTTTGGAAGAGTGTACTAGGATTCTGCGCTCATATTTAAAAGTATGGAAAACATGCATATTTCCAAAAACGCCGGCAAAAGAGCCCTTGCTCTTGGGATAAAAATTTCAAAGAAACCAATGGAGTGAAATGCTCTTTTATTTAATCATATGAATTATCGACTAAAAGAATCTATTTCATCTTACCAACCTCACTTTAACAGAGCACAGGACACAATTTGACTATTAGGTTTTGTATATAATGCAATAAAGTCTAATAGAGATGAAAGATAGTCCGTTTACAAAGGGCGATACGAGGTCTGAAGTGTTGTGGTTCCATGAATAGCCGATTTTCGAATTTCTTCCTAGTARTCAAACACAAAAGAATCAAGACGAGGYGYCGTGCGTAAAGCTCAGTCAATTGTRAAAAACTTTTGTCTTTTCACGAATGACTGAGCTTTATGCACGGCGCCTCGTCTTGATTCTTTTGTGTTTGACTACTGAGGCAAAATTCGCAAGTCGGGTATTGACTCTTATTTCCTTTTTTGAAKTCKTAAAWATYGAGAGCAATATTTGTTTAGGGGACTTGTGGGATCGTCTGATACACTGGCTAATTATCTGTTGTAATGACAATCTTAACGAATATAATGAAAGTTTTATTCAATTGTAAAATAAATCAAARCTAACATCACTGTAAGAAATACATAATTATTAAATAAAATGCTTAAACATGTGAAAGAATCAGTTTTTATCAAGTTGAACATCAGGTATAATCCTATAATACCCGTCACTGATTCAATCTATAAGATGATTATTCGATAATTTGAATGTTCTTTAGCCTTTTTAACTCGAAGATTGCGAAGCAATCGAAGAGTTATTAGAGTTTATAGACCCCTTGCACTTCGTGGGAATGCAATTCCAACTGGAGGACAAATGAATAGATTCTAGTTCCCAAGAGGGCAAAAATCTTTTGTTTTGTCCTCCAGATGAAGCTGCTTTGACGTCACATGCAAGGGGTCTATATTAGACTTGTCTTCTAACTGCTTTTGGGAGGGACAGGAAGCCCGACAAAAGGGTAGGCTGCGAGACTAGCAGGCGCTCGACACTTTGTCAGACATGCCAAAGTCAAACGAAGTCAGCGATAATTTATGCAAATTTAATTGAGCCCATAAGCGCGAAGTTTTAGCAATAGATCAACTAATAGTCAACTCTCGCTATTACGGACACCCTCGGGCCCAAATTTAGTGTCTGCAGTAGCGAGAGTCCCTAGTAACGAGAGTTACTTTCAGTCATTGCTTATTTGTATTTTTCGGCGGGGATTCAGTATTTTACCGTCCGCAATATCGAGATGTCCGTTGTAGCGAGGTGTCCGAAGGCAAGAGTTGACTGTAGTATGGTAATACTAAAACAATTTGATGACCTCGTGGGCTACGAACTGATAGCATATCCGGCCTTCGGCCTCGTTATCAGCTCGTTATCCCACTCGCCTCGAGGTATAATTGTTAAACATTACATGTCTTGATAGAGCATATGAAAAAGGGCTTGGCTGTGCTGTAACGCCTTTGTTTATAAGTTGTTTAAAACATCATAATGTCCGTTGAAAGAGCATATTATAATGAAAAATATCTCAAAGTTTGATTGCTCTAAACTGTTGAAGGACCAGAAAATACAGGTGTTTGAAATTGAGTAAAAATTACTATTGAGAGGGTCTCAATAATGGGGTTATACCCTGGTCCCACAGGTTTGATATTTCTCTCTTCATTATTGTTTTTGTCGGCGCGAAGCGCCGTAATCGAGGACCCGGGAGTCAAAATACTTCACCAAAATCACAGTAAAATGTAAATCCAATCTAATCAAAGATACTTTACTGTATTTAGGTGTAGATAGTCTTCCTTTTGACCAAATTCAGTTAACAATTTAAAGCTTCTTCGCCGCTCGGCATAGTATACAATCGACTTGTCACTTTTTCGCGTCTCTGGACTTCTCCCCCCCGGGGGGTACTCCGGGAAGGGGGGTGGGGGGAGGGGGTACTCCCCCCAAACTTGGGTGGGGTCGTGCCACTGGGACATCAAAACCCTGATCCTGTTCCAGAGKGAAATCGCTGAAAACTATACCCTGTTCCAGAATAAAATCGCTAAAAATGATATCCTGTTCCAGAGAAAATCCAGCACTAGCCTGCGTGTAGACCGAATTTTTACCCCGTGAATTTTTTACCCAGCATTAATAATTCCGGAATTAAACCCTTATCCTGTTCCAGAGAAAATTCGTTGAAATCGATAGCCTGTTCCAGAGTAAAATCGCTAAAAAAGATACCCTGGTTGGCGGCACGTCCCCGTATAGCGAATATATATCCCCCCCTTCCGGGAACTCCCGGACAGAATGTCACGATTAAAACTTATATGTCCGGGAGTCAAAATAATTCACCAAAATCACAGTAAAATGTAAATCCAGTCTAATCAAAGATACTTTACTTTATCATATGACCCGTATTTCGGCCCTGCGCGCGCTCTCACTGAAACCTTTGGAAAATGGTCACGTGATGGGGTCCGTACGCCTTTTCGCGACAGGTCCGTACAAACCCGTATTTTCCCGGCTTGAAGTTCCGCGCGCTTTTATTTATTTTTTTACATTGAAAAACGCTGTCATATGATAAAATGCTTATTGACTGAGTTAGGTCGGGCCGTACGGGAAAATATTTGGCTCTCGGTCATAACCTCGAGCCAAATATTTTCCCGTACGGCCCTCCCACTCAGTCAACTAGACGCATAACTGCGTAAACTCGGGGTTCTTGTTGATAAGATAGTAGTGAATTTGGTAAGGCTCGTTTACACTTGCGTGTTTGCCATATATATACTATATAATTCGCTTTTGATAAGATGGGTAGCTAGTTTGATAGACAATTCATGATATGCAGTGATATAAATATCACAATTTT